GTACGTATCACTTTTTTATTTTAAGTAAGTGAGGTGGTTGCTGTATTTTTTTTAAGATTTTATTTTAAGTAATCTCTACACCCAAGGTGGGGCTCAAACTTACAACTCTGAGATCAACAATCACATGCTCTACCTACTGAGCCAGCCAGGGGTTCCAAGTGAGTTTTTTTTTTAATAGACTATTTTTTAGAGCAGTTTTATATTCACACCCAAATTGACAGGAAGGTACTGAGATTTCTCATACGCCCAGTGCCCCCACACACCCACAGCCTCTGCCATCATCACCAGCCCATACCAGTGTGGTACATTTGTTACAGTGGATGAACTTTGCTGACACATCATTGTCGCCCAAAGTCCGTAGCTTAGATTAGGGCTCACTCTCGGTGTTCTGCGTGCTGTGGACTTGGATGAATGTATAATGACATGTATCCACCATCATAACATCATGCAGAGTAGTTTCACTGCCCTAAAAATCCTCTGTGCTCCCTCTACTCAATCCTCCATCTGTTATTTTTGTAATAAGAATATACAAATCTGGAGAGGGAAAGAAAAGAAATGAAGAGGTAGTTCTTGCCAAGAAGGAATTTCAAGTCTGAGTGGTGAGCGGGGATTCAGCCAACCCTGGGATGGCTTTACAACTTGAACAGGCAAACAGTAAAATAACAGAATAAGATGTGATTATATACCTTCTGAGGAATACAGAAGAAAGAAGTCAATATGAGCTGGGAGGGGTTCATCAGAGCAGAGTTCCTGGAGAAAGCTCCTGACTGGGCCAGGATATAAAGTATTTTTGGAAAAAGGCCACTATTTATGATTTATTATCCCCGTGTCAAGTACTTTACATGGGTATTTTTACATGTTCAAAATAACCCTATGGAACAGATACTATCCCCAATTTATGGATGAGAAAATGGAGTCTGAGAGGGCCAATTAACTTTTCTAAAATCAAACAGCCAGTACACAAAAAAAGGAATTCAAAACTAGGTTTGAGTGATCCCATATCCTGTGTTCAAGCCACAGGATCGCATTGCCTGCATCGGCAGAAAAGTAACAAAGGTAGGGAAAGAATGGAAGGCAGAGAATGACCTTCTTCTCAGAGGAACAAGTAGCTCAGGGAGCCCAAACTCACAATGTGGCTATAAATAAATGCCATGAAAAAAGTCAGCATCATCCCTTTACTTTGGGCTGAATATTTCTCAGAGCTACAGTACTTGAAGAATACTTTGTAAGAAAATAAAGGCAAAAATCCAGCCATCTTTGTCCTTGATAAGGGGCTTCGAATATGGTAGTGATGAAGAACCAGAAAGAAATGCCACATGGGTCTAGGGGGACAGAGTATCATTTATGCTGCTATCGTGATTCCATGTATGTTCTGTTGCAATGACCTTTTAACACACCTACCTCCCCACTTGTCAGTGGGCTGCCCTGGGACAGAGGCCACACCCCAAGTCATCTCTATATCCCCGCAGCTTGACCTCATCCCTGGCACTTGACAGGAACTCAGTATTGGGGAATGAATGAATGAGCGAGCAAAAGAATGAGTGTATAAAAATGTAAATAGCTACTACTATTATATGTTGGTGTCCCGATCCATAAAATGGGACTGATGATAGTACCTTCATCAAAGGATTATTGTGATAATTAAATGGGCTGATGGTATAAAGGGTTTAGCACAAGACCTGTACAGAGCACACATACAATATAAACAGTGGTTCTGAAGAATATTAGCCACTAGTATTATTATTGTTCGTGTATCCTTTAAAAGAGCCCGTCCCTAAGGAGTGTCCCCATTAAGCATTTCGATTCGTACAATCATCTTCAATGGGGTTGGCAAGAGCAGCTATGAGTTTGTTTTCAGGGAGCTCTCCTACTCTTGGTCTCCTCACTTTTGCATGACTGTCTATGCATCCCCAGTCCTGGACCCTAAGTGTCCTCATTAGGGTGGTGTGCCCACCTGTATACATGCTCATCAGCATTTACCCTCCAAGGTAATGCACACGGTTTCCTAGCTCTTCCATCTTCTCACTTCTCCCAAAATTTATTCTCCAGGTTTGCATTTGTCAAGGCCAGTACCTAAGCCCTTCAGACTCAGTAACAGAAACAAGAACATCCCCATGGACAGAAACAACCCATCCGGTCATGGGGACTAGGTGTTCACATGCCAAATGTGCATTTCAGCCGATGCCTTCCACATAGCATCTTAATCCAAAGGAGTATCTGGGATGGTGGGATGAAAACCTGATGGTGCCGGCCTTGTCACAAATCAGACCATGAAGTGTCGCCCTCATCTGCCTCCTTTAAACCAAACCAAGAATCTAGCTCACTCCCACATTTCCCCCTGAGTTGGGAAAAGAATCAGCGTAACAGGTTGTGTGGCAGGCTCAGTCTGTACCGCACACGCTTCTTGGGGTTGTGAGTTTGAGCCCCACGTTGGGTGTAGAGATTATTTAAATAAACGTAAAAAAAAAAAAAAAGAATCCGTACATCCAGGTATGGATAGCCCTCTTTCTTTCTTTCTTTCTTTCTTTCTTTCTTTCTTTCTTTCTTTCTTTCTTTTTTTTTTTTTAAGAGTTTATTTAGAGCAGGCAGGGTAGAGGGAGAAGGGGAGACTCAAGCGGACTCTGTGCTGAGCCTGGGGCCCAACATGGGGCTTGATCTCAGGATCCTGAGATCACAACCTGAGCTGAAATCAACAGTCAGACGCTTAACCCATTGAGCCACCCAGACAACCCTGGATAACCCTCTTTCTAAGTTTAAACCCTTGCCTGGCTTAGCCCTGCACCAGGAGCCCAGGAACATGGTTTGAAATAACAAAAAAAAGGAAGGAAGGAAGGAAGGAAGGGAGGGAGGGGAGGGGAGGGGAAAGAGAGGGGGAGGGAGGGAGGGAGAGGAAAGAGAGGAGGGAGAGGAGGGAGGGAGGGAGGGAAGGAGGGAGGAAGAAGGAAAGTCCTGTAAAGTATAACTGCATTTATCGAAACATTTAAAGATGGATGTACAACAGAAAAAAAGATCTGAAGGTATATGCACCAAATTTGATTTCTTTGCATTGCAAGGTTATGTGTTTTTTCTTTTTGCTTTTTTTATATTTTTCTCATTTTTCCACAAAGGGTATTGTAAATAGCATTTTAAAAACATATTTTGTATTCAAACAGAATTTAGTTTAAATCCGAGCTATACTACAAACATACTGAGTATCCTGGGGCAAGTCATTTACCCTCTCCAATCCTAGTTGCCTTGCATTTAAAATGGAAGTTGCTTTTAATTAAATATTGCCATAAAATATTTTTGGCTCTGAAATTAGAGGGGTGAGTCAATCATGTTTCTCCACCATAGCACCTCATTGTAAGCCCTCTCTCTTATTTTATTGATTTATTTCCTTTTATTTCCATTTCCCTCTGCCTTCACCCTTAGGCAACTATTTTGTGTTTGACATTATTTAAAGTGTTTTTGTAAAATGTGTGTGGTTGTTTGGTGTGTTACTTAAATAGTATTATGTTGTAAATCTTCATTCTATTTCCTATTTGTTCATAAAGAATGATATTTTTTAAGATCTTTCCCTAGTGCTATATGGACATGCCGTCCAGGGCTCTAAGTGGGACACAGTCACTGTGCTAGGCATCTACCCTACTCAACTTTTCCATAATTCCCAGTGAGGGACACCTAGGTTCTGTCCAACTCTCTGTCACCATAAGCAACAATGCTCTGAGTATACTTGTGAATGTCACCTTATGGATCTGTGTGAAAGTTCTTTGAGATCTATGCCCTGGAGCAGAACTGCTGGGTCAAGAAGTCTGTATATAGGGGCGCCTGGGTGGCTCAGGTCATGATCTCAGGGTCATGGAATGGAGCCCTGCATTGGGCTCTCTGCTCAGCAGGGAGCCTGCTGCCCCCTCTCTCTACCTGCCTCTCTGCCTACTTGTGATCTCTCTCTGTCAAATAAATGGGTAAAATCTTTAAAAAAAAAAAAAAAAAGAAAGAAAAGTAGTAGTAGTAGTAGTAGTAGTAGAAGAAGTCGTATGTATATATAATTAATGACATCAAGTGGGGCCAGAGTCTTGAGTAGGGCCTCACAGCCTATGCCCGCACTAGCCATGCAGAAGGCTCCCCCTGTCCCCACAACCCTGCTTACACTTAGCACTCTCCAGCTTCCTGATTTTGCCGGCTGAACAGATATGTTGTATCTCTTTGTGGTTTTCATTTTAATTTATTTGAACCCCTAATATTTTGAGCATCTTGACCTATGTTCATTAGCCTTGAGGTTTCCTGTTTTGTAAATTGCCTGTTCATTTTCTTTGCCCACATTTCTACTGGGAATGCTCTTTTTCTTGTTGATTTGCAGGAGTATCTTTTATATTCTAAATATTGATCCCCTGACTGTCTTAAAAATTGGAAATATCCTCTCCCGTCCTTGCCTCGTAATTTATCTTTTTGCGGTATTGAGTCGTTTTTCTTTCACTGCTAGATCAAAAAGATCGTTCCTAGATCAGAGAAGAATTTTGTCTTCTTTTGCCTTTAAAGTTTTACCTTTCACATTTAGGTCTTTAATACCTCTCATATCTACTATGGAAATAAATCGGCATCTGCGTCCAGGCCTTTCTGTAGAACAAAATAATATAGCTAGGCGCCTAGCACAATGCTTCCCACCTAAGAACTATGCCAGTGCCGGTGATGATGATTATCGCTGGCGTCGAAAGTGATAAACGCTCTCCCGGCAAGTCGAGAGAAATTGGAACCTAGGGGCTGGTTAGCTAGCCCAAGAAAGGTTTTAGAGGCGAAGCGGAAGTTACGGAGATTGGCCCTAAAAGGAATGTCGGATTCGCTCACTTAGAGATGGAAGGCGAGGGCGCGGGGCAGAGAAGGTGGCCTGGGCAAAGACCAGGCGGGGGGATTGCCGCGCGTTCGCGGCGTTCAGGCGGAGCGCAGGGAGAGGAGGGCCTGAGTACTCACGAACTGCTGTCTGTCTTTCTGCCCTGTGCCCACCCCACCCCTCCCCGCTGCAGGCTCCCTGTTCTCCACCCTGAAGCCCCCCGACGCCGTGTTCAAAGTGGTGTTCTGGCTGGGCTACTTCAACAGCTGCCTCAACCCCATCATCTACCCGTGCTCCAGCAAGGAGTTCAAGCGCGCCTTCGTGCGCATCCTCGGGTGCCAGTGCCGCGGTCGCCGCCGCCGCCGCCGCCGCCGTCGCCTGGGCGGCTGCGCCTACACCTACCGGCCGTGGACGCGCGGCGGCTCGCTGGAACGCTCTCAGTCGCGCAAGGACTCGCTGGACGACAGCGGCAGCTGCCTGAGCGGCAGCCAGCGGACCCTGCCCTCGGCCTCGCCGAGCCCGGGCTACCTGGGCCGCGGCGCGCCGCCGTCCGTCGAGCTGTGCGCCTTCCCGGAGTGGAAGGCGCCCGGCGCGCTCCTGAGCCTGCCCGCGCCCGAGCCCCCCGGCCGCCGCGGCCGCCACGACTCGGGCCCCCTCTTCACCTTCAAGCTCCTGTCCGAACCCGAGAACCCCGGGGACGACGGCGGCGCCAGCAATGGTGGCTGCGAAGCCGCGACCGACGTGGCCAACGGGCAGCCGGGCTTCAAAACCAACATGCCCCTGGCGCCCGGGCAGTTTTAGGGCCCCGGGGGAGGAAACATCGTGGGGGGAGGGCGGGCGGAGGGTGGGAGGGGGCGTCGGCGCCCGGAGACGCGGGCCCAGGGGGAAACGGGGGGAGGGGGGCGGGGAGAGGGGCAGCTGCTTTTCTGGCAGGGGCATGGGTGCCAGGTACAGCGCGGAGAGCTGGGCCGAGCATGCTGAGAGCCTGGAGGACCCGACGCCGGCCGGGATTTCCGTCTCTCTCTCTCTCTGTACATATCCAAACGAGTCCCTCTGTACACGTATTTAATCGTGGGTACACGTGCGTGTGTCTGTGCGGTGTCCGTGTGGTCTGCATGTGTGCGTGTGTGGGGCCGCCCGCGCGGGGGCAGAGCGAGTGTGCGCCCGGGAGGCAGCGGGGGCGGTGTTTGTCTTGTGACTTCATACCTCTCAAACCCCTCCTTGTACTTTATTGAATGATGGCACTTGGGCGGGGTTGGAAACACATCGGACATTAAAGGTCATTTCTCCTGTGCGCCTTTGAGCGGTTTGTGAACAGGGCGGTGGGCAGGATCTGGAGTCTCCTCCTCCCTCCTCTTCAGATTTGTCTGCGTCAGTCCCACTGGGCCTATGGGCGATAGTTGTGCTGGGGCCCCTTGGCCCCACTTCTACCCTTGCCATTATGGCCCTCCAGGGCTAAACAGATCTGACTCTGTGGCTGGAAGTGAGCGGGTGGATTTGTCCCATAAATCCTCCTTGCCTGCTTTGGATCCTCACTGGTATCTAATCCTCCTGCTGTGGGCAACACTGTGGGCAATGCCTGGCTTGGTCCTAGGGACCCCAATCCTAGCTGGAGCTCTGTAGCCGGGAGGGTAAGGTGGGCCTGTCACTTGAGAGGGGATGGGACTCAGGCAGAGAGATGGCTTTGTTCCTTTCACCTCCTCCCTGCATCCCTAGGCCAAACACTCCATTGTTCACCCTTGTCCAGGGAGCCCGATAAAGAAATGCAAACTGAAGAATTTTCTGGATAAGATATGGATCCCTGTGACCAAGCAACATACATGAGCACAAGAACCCTCATAAGCTCTGCTAGCTGGGGAGACTGTCTGGGGAAGAAGCACTGAGGAAAGTCACACAGGTGGAGCACACCTGGGAGGAAGTAACCTCCATTCTAGCCTCAGGTCTTCTGCTGATTTACTGCTTTACCTGGAGAAAGTCACATTCCCTTTCTGGATCTTGGTTTCCCATCTGTGTAATGATGGAATTGATTCCAGGGTCTTCTCTGCCTCTGAAAGCCTCCAGTTTGCTAAAAGAATAATAATAATAATAACAATAACAATACTAATAATAAATATAAATATATAGGCTAGGGAACAAAACAGAGCATTTTTCTTCCCGGAAATTCAAAAAAAGCATAACAGGAACATACCCACCTCAATCCCTTTCTCTTCCCACTTTGCTTTTTTTTTTTTTTTGCTGAGCTTCATACTTTCTCAAATGGCAGGAGACTTTTCTAATAATGTTAGTGCATCAGACATTTATTCTATAGGTGACTGAATAGAAAATGCTTAGTGAAAAGGAGCAGTAGTTCATGTAACTGAAAAGTGTAGGGGTATCAGGTATGGCCGCATCCAGGAGCTTAAACAAGATTGTCAGCTTGCTCAGAAGGTTCTGACTCTTTCATTTAGCTTTCATCTTAGCTCTGCTTATCTTTCCTCATTTCCTTCTTGCAGATAACTTTTTCACACCATTCTTACAACTTGAAACTCCCCCAAAAGGAGAAATATCTCCCACTAGTTCTGACCAAAAAAAAAAAAAAAAATAGAAGTAAAAAGTAAAAAGTCCTGAGAAGCTAGATGTTCTGTGTCAGAGATCCCTTTGGGAATGATGAAAGCTGTACATTCTTATGCCAGAAAAAAAATGCACTATATATATAATATTTTTATACAATTTCAAATGACTCATCCCTGTTTAAAATCCCATGAACCAAGCATGACACCCCAGATCCACAGGTTATTCGAGCTAAACTGGATTTTCAGAATTATCTGGGCCAATCACCTCATCTTTACAGATAGGGAAACCACGGTAAATAACTTGACTAAGTGACACTGAACTAGGACTAGGACCCCTGTCTGTTGCCTCCCTGTCCAGTACCTTTTACACTCCCTTGTGCTGCCATGTTGGGGTTGAGTACATCCTCTAATAGAGAGCAGATGTCTTCTTGCCTCAATACAGATAAGAGTCCTAGGAAAAGAAGAGCCTGAACATAATTTCCAGAGAAGCAGCAGCAGTTTGGAGCAGTTCTCTGACAACATTTTGTTAACAACCCAGATCTTTCAAACAGTCCTTACACAGACTCCTGACATAATTGGGGTCCAGAGTGAAGAAGGAAAGGACAACAGAGCCTCAACCCCTTGACTGCTCTCCTCCTCAGCTCCTCCTTCTGGTCTGCCCTAAGCACCCAAGGATTCCACAGAATGAGGTTTGAAAAGCACTGGTCTAGTGCAAGCAAGGGGGACCTGGAGTCAGTTGGACCTGGGTTCAACTCTTGGTTCTGTATCACATTGAGCAATTCACCCCTGCCTCTCCTGGCCTGTTTTCCCATCTGTCAAACTATCACAGACTATCAGGCAACCCAAAGGATTCAATGAAATAATTGTGGTATAAACACCAAACTGTAGCTTGCTGGGCAGGACCAAGCTGTAATTTGGACCAGAGATATCTGAAGCCACAGGCACCAAAGGCATTTCCTGAGCTGCTCAGTTCTGATGACCTCAGACATCACTGGTGTTTGGAGGCCACTCAGGCAGCACAGGAAGGCAGCGGCAGCCTCCTGCCTTTTTCCAGAAGGAGGGTTGGCCCAGCAGTGGCTCACGTCCTCATAAGGTGCTTGGTTCCAGATCGGACCCGAGTCAGAGTCTGCGTCACGCTACATCTTCAGGTTACCTCACTGTGGCCGGGCTGAGAGAGGGCATGGGATTCAAGAGCCCTCGGGGGAAAATGGCCTCTCTACTCTGACCTCCCCACCAGAAGCAAAGCAGTCCTACTGAATCTTCTCCAGCCACCCAAACACTCCTGGGTCATTGTCTCCCCTGGGACAGGCACAAGAATACATCTGCCAACCAAAGTAAAGAGGCAAGTGGCTTGGCAAGGTGGGGTAATAGTTGATCCTGCAGATCTGGGTTCACAGCCCACTTCTGCCATTTAATAGCTCTGTGACCTTGAGCAGCTCATGATACCGGTCTAAACCTCAGTTTTTTTAACTATAAAATAGAGATAATAATAGTACCTACCTCGGAAGGACATTGGGCAGATCAAATGGGTTAATGAGTATAAATCAATACTTTGTCCATCACTTGGAAGTATCTGATGAGCGATAGCTATTAGCAGAGGCATTAACTCTTCAGTCTTTACTTTGATACGTGAAGTTTAGAAAATCTGAATAAATGGACAAAGAAAATAAATTCTCTGTCATTCACTAGAGTCCGGGGTTTTAGGACTCAGTGTCCACCTTGAAGAAGAAAGACAAGTTTATGACAGAGTAAAAGAATTTTGTGTCCTACAGCATGAAGAAACACATTACTCGAAGAGGGGATCAGCCCAAATTTGAAGGGAAAAAGGAAACTTGATAAAAGTTCTAGAACATTCCAGGGTGACAAAGCCAGAATGGGTGCGTGAGGGAAGTCTGGATGTCTTAAGGCTTGTGCATCCTATGATGGCAGACAAGGGCAGGGGCTGGGAGGGGGCTGTGGGGCGCAGAGCTCCTCTGGGCACACACCTGGGTTCAAGGCTCAGCTCTACGACCTGATCCAGGTGCCTTGGCCTCCCTGTGGCCAACTGCCTTGCATGTAAATTGAGAATATAATTAGCACATGCCCCACAAGTTTGGGATGCAACAGAACATGAAAGAGTTGGCCCAGAGTAGGCACTATTTTTATTACTTGTGGGTGATGTTATTTTTCCCCCATTCCAGCAGTTCTCAACTTTTCCTGCATCAGCAGCTCCTTTAAGAATCTGATGCAAACTAGAACGAAGTGAGCCCAACTTCACCTACAATTCATGCCCCCCAAATCCCAACACGGGAAACCCAGGTTATAAACTTCTCAAGAGATTTGACTCCCTGAAAATACAAAAGTAGTCAAATACAGAGCGAGGTACACACAGAGAAGAATGTCTTCGACCCTGCTCTCCCAGAGCTCAGCCTGGATGAGAGGTGGGCAGGCACCAGCAATTCCACTGGAGTGTACAACTGGAGTCAGGGAACTAGAAGCTTCCTTACTTGGTGAGCCCCTGAGTATCAGGCTCCATCTTCGGTCTGGAGCTTGGTGGTGACGGTTAAGTGCCTTGGGTTCTTGGAAAGGGGTTGGATGGCACTCGGGCAAAGCATTGAGCATCACTCCTCCAGCTGAAGAACGGGCCTTGTCCTGGCTGCCATCAGCCTCTTGGTGGCCAGAAGTAGAACAGCAACCACTCCTCACTGCAGATTCGGGGTTAACTTCCGCCTGGTCCTGCAAGCAGACGTGGAGGCCTCCTGCTGCCCCACCTCCTCTCAGTAGGTCCCTTCAGGACCCTCTCGACCCTTCCTCACCACGCCATGGAATCTTTATATAGCCCAGCTGAGGGTAAGGGGAGGATACAGAGGGAAGCTTGGGTTAATATGGAAGAGCTTGCATCCTTCTATGGTTTTCCCATCTTATACCTGGCCCAGCCTTCTGAAACTCTAAAGTCAAGAACTTGACACTGTTTCTTTTGCTTTCCCTAGAAAATCTTCCCTTGGGAAATGAGTGACTTACTCCTCGCTGGCTTGGCTAGAGTCAGAGAGCCTTGGTTTGCCGGTTAATTTGTTAAAGTATGGGTGTTGGGAGGTGGGATGGTGGGACAGGGACAGAGATGTAATCTGTCTCCCTTCACTCCCCTTCTCCCCCGCTCCTCTCCCCTACCCTCCCTCCCTTGCAACCAGGCTACCTCTGTTGTTCCTTAGGTCCAGGGGAGCCCAACTCCCCACTCAGGGCCTTTGCACATCTGGTCCCTCTGCCTAGAGCCCCTTCCTCCCTCACCTCCTTCACACCTGTGCTGCAGTGTCACTTCTCA